GAGAGGAGTGTGAGAGTGTCCGTGATAGAGAGGAAAGTGGCCAGCTCTGTAAGAAAGAGTGTCACTCAGTGGTCAGCTCAGATGGATCTAATGCTCTGCTCTTCTCAGACAGACATTATTTAATGTTCTGAAGAGCCTCTTCTCCGAACCTCACCTTGGGCTTCAAGATGAAGAAGTACCCGGTACCCTTGGCCCGGCACACGAGCTTGCAGCGGTCCTTGGGCGACACCCCTGCATACTTGGGGACCCACTCCACAGCCGGGCCGGAGCCAAAGGACAGCTGGGAGGAGATTTCATTGTGGGCCAGGCACTGCTCCTCTCGGAACGACAGCCCTGCGGAGGACGAGAGAGAGAGAGTGTGGTCACAGGCCCACCTCAACAACCACATTGATCCATCTTCCGCAGAGTCCTCCGACCATCCAAACCCACGGGCGGAAGTGTGGCGAGAGAAGAGCCTTTAGAGCAGGCTGTTAGCGAAACCACAGAGGAACCACTGCAGCACATCTGGAGCCTGTACGTCCAGGCAGGGAGGCGGCAGACCGGGCCTTAAGCAGGCAAGACTGAACAGACTACAGGTTTGGGAAGTTCATGAACTGCTAAAGCAATCTTTAATTCTTTCACGAGTCACTTTTCAATAATTCATGATAGTGCTGCACACATCAGAGAACAGATGCTGGTTAAACTTTGTTCTGACCTTCCATCAAGGGGCTATTGAGAGACTCTTCTTACATTCATTGATTCTTAATGACTTCATTGACCTGGCTGCTGAAGATCACTAAAATAACAACAAAACAGCTTGACCACAAATTTAGCAAATTTTGCTCTGTCCAGCACGGGGCACTCTTACCATTGTTGTCGGGGCAGTCCTGGGTGTTGCAAGATCGGTACTGGATCCTCTTGCCCTCGCAGTACTTGCCACCGTTCTTGGGCTGGGGGTTGTCACAGTCCCGGAAGGAGTACTGAACCCCGCCGCCACAGGTGCGTGAGCAGTCGCCCCAGGGACCCCACGCTCCCCAGCCGCCGTTCACTGGGGTCTGAAATGCAGAAGATGCCACTGTTAGACCCCTGGCAGGAGCACATCCAAACACTGCCAACTCCCTTCCCAGAGAGCCCACAGTCGGGGCTCAGTTTGACCAATCACAGTGTCTTCTGCTCTGATTTGGAGATGACGGATCTTCCCATAAAGCTGGGCTGTCTCGATTGTGTTGTATTGTGTTTGTGCAAAAACCTACTATAATTTCTCCACCCCGGAAGTCTTCAGCTGCTACTCACCTGGAAATGAGCGGCCTCTGCCTGGGTCAGGCACTGCCCTGCCAGGCAGAAACTGTTGGCGCCGCAGGGCGTGCCATCCGCCCAGGGGAAGTTCTTGGTCTGGCAGACCAGCATGCCCTCTGCTGCCGTCACCGTGCACCAGAGCGCCGAGCAGGTGCTGCTGACGTCGGGGCAGTGGCGGGATTCCTCGCCGAAGGTCAGCTGGCACTGCCGGTTGGCGTCGTACACCGTGCCGGGCAGGGCCTTGGGCAGGGGCTGGGGCTTCTGAGGTTTGTCCAGCAGGCACTGACCTGTGGGAGAACAGGTAGAGGTCAGGGGTCAGGGTTCTTGTGTCACGCACAAAGGACCAGGGCAGCTCAGCCCGGCAATTACCAACACATTGAAGTGCAAGGCCGGGCACAGCACAATGTGCACATTCTGTGTGAAAGGCCATCTATAAACCCTGAAGGAATGGATATTTATCAATGCATTCGCAAAATAATATTAAACAGTTCTGATATAACTCATATATGCAATAGCAGAAGTAATCATAGTGTTTTTTTGCAAAACTTTGTCTTATCTTCACATGTATGCTAAAGAAAGCTAAGGTGTCAGACTTTCTTCTGAGGAAGAAAGCTGGTGTTTTATGACCACAAGGAAACTAACATTTATGAAAGGTCACCTTGAGGTGGTGGCTTAGCAACTAACAAGAAGATTTCAAACAGGGTGTAGGGTTATGCCATTAAGGGATTTTTGCTTTTCAATGTAAGTTACATGATGCTATCTGTTCGTATAAATGCTTTTCAGAGAAGCCTTTTCTTTTACACCACTCTGAGAAAAGAGAAAGTTTCCTCCAGCCTTTGTTCCCTCTAAAAGCCCTTCCCTTTACCCCAAGCCTCGCGCTTGACGGCTTGACGCTGTTCTAATGGTGCTCACCGTGGCCGTTGTCCAGGAAGGATGTGACCATGAGGGCACTGCAGGGGGACCAGGGCTTGAGCGGGTTGAGGTTGGACAGCGTGGAGGCCATCATGTGCGAGCCCCAGTTGGCACCGTTCACGCTGGCACACTGCTTGGCATCGTCGTGCGGCATGTTGAACACGTGACCTGCAGGGCAACATACACGCGGGCTCAAACCACAAGGAAGGGAAGACGCACTCCGCCCTCTGCCAGCGACGCGTCTCGCTGGCTGGGGAAATCGAACTGAGAAACATCCCATCATCAGGCCCACCTAGTCTCTGTAACTCACTGACAATCAGCATCTTACTCTTTCCTGAGAGGTGTCCAATGTCCATTATCCATTGTTATTTCTTGGTGAACACCAATGCAAACTGTTCATTCACAACAGTGGCCATTTCTGCCTCAATATATGAAGCCAAGCTGTAATTATGGTGACTGGGGGCTGTGTGCCTTCTTTGCTGCTGCAGAGTTATACAGCACTAGTATGAGCCCTATATATGTGTATGTCTGTTAAAGACGTTCGAGTAGGGAGATGCAAATGGAACAGGTAAATGTTTATTCTATGCTGAAAGGAAAAGAAAAGAGACACAAAGTTTTGGCTGTATATGACTGAAGAAGGTGTGTGTACACACTTGAAGAAGGCTCCACAGGCTCCACAGGTATTAACCTTTACCTGTTCCCTATATCTGTTAGCTGCTTGGAAGTCTGTTTCCTCTATATAGTGCCTTTCTTCCTCTGAGTATGGGTCTTGACCAGTCTCGTGACCCAGTAGGGGCTGAGCCCCTGCCCTGGCTTCTTGCCGCTATCTTACCCAGCTCGTGCGCCACGGTGAAGGCGGCCTGCAGCCCGTCGTCCTCGATGATGGAGCAGCTCCTCTCGGGGTCGCACACCGTGCCCACGTCGGCCATGCCCAGCGTGTCGCAGGTGTGGGCGCCGCACAGGTCCTGCAGGGGGAAGGGCACAGGGAGGGGGTTAGGGGTCAGCTGTGGCCTGTACCGGGAGCAAATCTCTTCACACACAGACAGCGGGGCACCCTGACCATGCTTCTGGAGCACCAAAAAGCCTTTGGAAAGTGTTTTCAGGTTGACAGAGTCAGGTTGCCATGGTTTCTCCACATATTTTTTGTATGTTAAAATGGTTTGCTGTGGGCTTATATCTGGCTTTACTGTACCCAGGTAAGCTTTAACCATTCGACTTTGACCCTGTACTCTGATTTTACCACCTGTGTGCCCTCTGTACCTGTCTGTGCCATGCTGACCTGTGTACCAGTGTACCCTGTTTGTGTGCCATGTTGAACCATGTACCCGCGTGTCCTGTTTGTGTGGCATGTTGACCCATGTACCCGTGTGTCCTGTCTGTATGCGTTGTGGACTGTGCCATGGCATACCTTCCTGGTGAAGAGCACGGCGGTGTCATAGTGCTCAGGATGCCGGTCGCTGGTGGGGTTGTGCTGGCGCTGCCACTGGCAGAAGTTGCGGAGGGTGAGGGCAGCGTTGGTGGAGACCTCAGGGCCACTGCCTTCGTCTTGTGCCACCAGGAGCTTCACCACGGCCAGGCTGATGGGATTGTGGATGGTAGGGTGGCGGTACAGCCGCGCCGCCACGGCCACCAGTGTCAGGAGGTACGACTTCAGCCCAGCGCCGTGGAATTCTGCCATGGACCGATCCGCCACCAGCAACATCTCCACATAGCGCGGGGTCGACACAAAGCGCCGGGATCTGTGATGGGCTGGGGGAAAGGGGGAGGAGCCAGTTAGTCTCCAGACAGCAGATCAGTCAAACAAGAGCTAATCGCAGGCTGGCCACTAGACAGCAGATCAGTC